AACAATTAGGGACATTGGATGGACCGATGACTAGGTCCAGGAGCCGTGCGCAAAGCCGGCCGGTATCATAAAAAGGGGATTCTCATTGACTTGCTTCCATGCTCTGATGATGTCAGCAGTGCTGGCCAACAAAAGCTCAGCATTTTTATTAAACAATTTCTAGTTTGATATTATCCTGGTGCTCGTATTTAGTTTTTTCTATTGCATGGCTTTATCCAGGATTTGAATTTTTAACGTAATTAGAGACATGTGTGTGTGTGTGTGTGTGTGTGTGTGTACATAAAAAATAAAGGTAAAAAAGGATATATCCAGTGTTATCTTCATTTTAGATATCAAAGGGGTCTCTCTGTCTCTCTTTCCCCTCTTTCCTTTCTCTTTCCTGTCTCCCTTCCTTTCCTCTCTCTCTTTCCTCTCTTTTTTCTTTCCTCTTTTTCTTTCTTTCATATCTCCCCCTCTTTCTCTCTTTCCTCTCCCTCTTTCTCTCTCTCTTTCCTCTCTTTCCCTCTTTCCTCTCTTTTCTCTTTTCTCTTTTCTCTTTCCTCTCCCCCTTTCTCTCTTTTCTCTCCCCTCTCTCTTTTTCCTCTCTTTCTCTTTCCTCTCCCTCTTTTTCTCCCTCTCTCTCTTTCTCTCTCTTTCCTCTTTCTCTTTCTCTCTCTCTTTCCTCTTTCTCTTTCCTTTCTCTTTCCTCGCTTTCTCTCTTTCCTCTCTCTTTTCTCTCTTTCTCTCTCCTCTCTTTCTCTCTCTCTTCTTTCTCTTTCCTCCTCTCTTTTCTCTCTCTCTTTCTCTCTCTTTCCTCTTTTTTCTTTCCTTTTTCTCTTTCCTCTCCCCCTCTCTTTCTCTCTCTCTTTCCTCTCCCTCTCTTTCTCTCTCTTTCCTCTCTTTCCCTCTTTCCTCTCTTTTTCTCTTTCCTCTCCCCCTCTTTCTCTCTTTCCTCTCCCCCTCTTTTTCCTCTCTCTTTCTTTCTCTCTTTACCTCCCTCTCTTTCTCTCTCTCTTTCCTCTCTCTCTTTTTTCTTTCCTTTTTCTCTTTCCTCTCCCCCTCTTTCTTTCTCTCTTTCCTCTCCCTCTTTCTCTCTCTCTTTCCTTTCTTTCCCTCTTTCCTCTCTTTTTCTCTTTCCTCTCCCTCTCTTTCTCTGTTTCCTGTCCCCCTCTCTCTTTTTCCTCTTTTTCTCTCTCTTTCCTCTCCCTCTTTCTCTACCTCTCTTTCTCTTTCCTCTTTCTCTCTCTTTCTCTCTCCTCTTTCTCTCTTTCCTCTCTCTCCTTCTCTCTCTCTTTCCTCTCTTTCTCTCTTTCCTCTCTCTCTCTTCTCTCTCTTTCTCTTTCTTTTCTCTTTCTCTCTCTCTCTCTGTAAAATTAATCCTGATCTATATGATGTTGTCTTATATGGCTGACACAGTAACATGAAAAGAAGGGGCACAAACTAGATGCATCTTCTGGTAATCTTAGAGGACAGTTTGATGTTTGTAAGCAATATAATCCTGCACTGAAAAGTGAGCTGAGGAACTGACTTGGGTGTTGCTGAACTATAACACCTGCTGATAGGACTCTGGGAGTTGTAGTTCAATCCTATTTGGAGGATCAAAGATTTCCTTCCCAGATATATAGGATGTTTAGAGAAACATGAGGAAGAACACCAATAAAGCTCCCTTATGCCATTAATCTTTTGTGCAGGAGCACAGTGTCTTAATGGCAATGAAATTACCCTGGTGAACTGGGAATTGCCAAAGATTATAGCTATATAGCGACCCACCCACCCCGACTAACAGAGGCGGCGGCGGAGCAGGGCAAGGGGAAACCCGCCGGGCAGGGAAGAGGCACCCACAGCTCCTTACCAGGGACACTTTTCCAGCAATCCTCCCGGCCACCACGTGCAGTACGAAGAAGGAAAGAGGTTTGTAGGCAGTCCCACAAACCAAAGAAGTTCAACCAATCAATTCAAACTTCATGAGAAGTTTGAATTGATTGGTTGAACTTTTTTAGTCCCACTTTTTTTTTTCAGACTGCACATAGTGGCTGAGGACAGGGAGCCGCAGGAGACGGCTGAAACAGCCGCATGCAGCTCCGGAGCTGCGGGTTGCCGACCCGTGATCTAGGGAGAGAAATTGATTGCTCAGTTTTAGTGAGGCTGCTTCTGGATGGATTGGATTGGGCAGAAGGGGTTTGTTAGTTGTATGCTGCTTCGTTCTTTGAGTATTGTGTTTCCTTCTATGTGTGACATACCTCCATTTGTCTTCCTCCAAGAGTTTGTCAGTAGGGTCAAGTCCTCTGGGTTTTATTTGGTTCAGTTTGGGTAGAGCTTTCTTTTGTACATTGGGGTTTGGCTAGAGTTGCCTCTAAGTTCCTTACTTTTTCCTCTACTAGTTCACATAGTTTACATCTAATGCATGTGTAGTTTGGGTGTTCTTTGGGCATGAGCACATACAGTACATGGAACATGTATTGCATACCACAATAGTGTCAGTCATTTGTTCCATGAGTATGTTGTTTGAAAATCCTTCTTTTTGGTTGGTGGATATGCTTTGCAGTTAGCCTTGTTTCTAGCTTCTCTGTTCTGGGTAATTATGCCTATTTTTCTGTCCTTTTTCTGCCTGTTTGTGCTTGTTTTTCTGCCTTGCTATTTGGTTTAGATAAGTATGTGGTGGTATGCCCTTGGGTTTTAAAAGAAAAAAATTGCAGTTTATATTGAAGTTAAGAATTAGTGTTGGAATAGGGCTATTTAACAAAGGGAAGGGCTGCTTTCTCCTCCACAAGGAATTTGCTTTTAGCTTTCTGCTCTCTGCCTAAAAAAGTCTTTCCTTTTCTTAATTTGTTCCTTATTTATCTCTGTCCTCTCTGCCTTGGTTTTGACTGGCTTTCTGTGCTCAGCCAGTCTGTCTAGCTGCCCCCAGTTGCCTCCAGCCATTTCTGGTGAACAGGTTTAGTAGCCGGGCTTTCTTTGCTGGGCTTTGCCACCAACTGCCTCCATCCATCGGTCCATCTCCAGCCGTTGCTCTGTCTCCGATGTTCAGCCTAGTTCTCTTGAGCTGCCAGTCGGGTCCTCCACTGCTCTGTTGCCTCTATTATGGTGCCTTGGCGCCACCTGTAGGCCTTCCAGTCCACCGCTGCCACCACCCACTGCCTCTGCACTGCTCCCAGCAACCTCACTGGACAGTAGCTTCGCGTTGCCACTGCCTGCCGCCTTTGCGCTGCCCCCAGCCACCTCACTGGTCCATAGGTTCGTGTTGTTGCTGGCTGCTGCCTCTGCACTGCCCCCAGCTGCCTCGCCAGTCAGTAGGTTTGCGTTGCCACCGACTGCCTCTTCTCCCCCACTGGAGCTGCTAGCATGCCCCATCGCCCGGTTTGCTGTGCCGATCTCTGCTTTGTTGGGCTGGGTTGGGTAGCTGAACCACCGGGCCTTTCAGGTAGGCCTCTGTAGACCTAGAGGTCCTGCAATGTTTCCTTTGTGATCCTGTGTGGCTGCTCTGTTGGATGGGGGACTGCTCCGGTTCCTTTTTGATGGGCTCCAGTCTCTTGGCAGGCCTCTCAGGAGCTGCTGGGTCTCTCAGCAGGCAAATTGTTGGTGTTTTCCTCCTGATTCCTTGAGTCTTTTCCTCTCCTTTTCCCTTCTCCCGTCTTTTTTCTTTTTCAATGACCTATTTTTCCTTCTCGACCTCTCCTATTGTTTTATCTTAATTTACTGGCAACTTTCCTCCCTGCAGTGTGAGCATGCTTCCTCTGTTGCCACCGTCTTGAAAACTCATGATTAAATGATTGAATATGTTCTAAAGAGAATCACATATAAGAAAAATATTTCCTGTTTGATTTTTTTCTTTATTTGAGTATTATTATGAGGAAACTCATGTTCTAATTCCATATTTATTAGGGCTTGACTTTCAAATATTCTTATTGCAATATGTATTTATTTTGCATTGCACATATTTGTACAAAATACTCTCACTTTTTACAGAACCCCCTCAAATTGTTCCAGTAAAATTCTGAAATGCTCTCCTCCACTTGCCTAGCATTTGCAGAGCACAGTTAATAGTGAAATCATAAATAAACCTTTATCTCTCTGTCTGTGGAAGAAGAGGCCCCTGTGGTCTCTGTATTGAATATACTTAAAGGCAATATTCTAGAAATAATATTCTTCATCAATAAAAGTAATTTTCTCCAGCTGATTAATAATTTCCTTGTTGTCAGAAGTCCTTATTTAGTTAAGAGATTTTGTATTACTTTTTGTGTTAATCAATTCGATAACATTATTGTAAATGTTGTAAGACATGAAAAAATGTTGCTATTTTTAGTTCTTATTGAAAAGATAGCGTGGAAAAATCTACATCTAACACAACTTAACTACACATTTAATATACTTAATCCAAGGTATAAGGCTCTTGTGGTGTATCTTTGAAAATACTTTTTTCCAAGAGTGATTTGTCTTACAATCATGACACAATGAAGACCAAGCACAAATCCAGTGCCAAAGCAGCAGTGCCCTCCAGATTTACAGTGGGCATCTACTAGTAACAATATGGTGAAATGTATCAGTTTCTGTGCAATGTTTAATAAGGCATCAAGTTTCAAATTTCATCTTTTCTTCCATGTAAACCCAGAGTTTTTTGTGGATGCTAAATACATTGGCAATTTTAAAAGTTTAATATTTGACCTCCACATCTATCATTAATACTAGAGCTTTAATTAGATCCTTTTCTTTAGTACAAATGGCTATCTTCTAAATTGTCCATTTGTCTGTCTGACCTTTGTGATAGTAATAAATATAGCTACATGCCTTGGACAGTTTGATTGAATTGACTTCTTCCCATGGAGGACAGAGTACAGCAAGCCCCAGTCCCAGTATGCAAAAGATCGTTCAAAAGGCCTTGCAATTTTTTTTCTCAAATACGCTTTTTTCAGAATTTGATACTTATGGTAGGAGGGAAAGAACTGGGAGAAAAAGTCAGATATTGAAGACGATCCCAAAACATGTTGGCATCTTTTCATCTTCATTTCTCTCCAAGTAGGAATTTAAAGTCCGAGGATTTGGAAAGCATCTCGCAGGTCATCAATTTCATAAAGAGGCTGTGAATTAAGGAGAAATAAGTGATCCAAAAGCAATTATGAGAATATGAGACAAGATGACAAAGAAGAATAGTAATAAAGAAAACATCAAGAAAATGTAGGAAGAGCTGGGAAGTGGAGGGAAGGGTATGAATAAGAAATTAAGGCAAGAGAAGAGCAAATAGAAGGCACTAATTCTGTTTACACTGAGGAGAAGTGAGAGAAGAGCAACGAAGAAGAAGGAAGCTCAGTGAGAAAAGTAAATGCTCACCAAAAGGATACGCTGGAGTTGTCTGGTAAGACGCACAGAATTTTCATGAAGCCCTTCCCAAGCTTTGAAGGTTTTTTTGCGGTTTTCCACAAAGGTGTTCCAGCAGTAAAAATAGTCTGATAAGGAAGAGTCATGAAACATTTAAATTCAGTTAGATGTTATCTCCTAAGGCTGTGCAAATCTTTTGAAAGAGTTGCTTTGAGAATTCACAGGAGCATGTATAAAACATCTCTTTTGAAATAAAGCGACTCTCTCTTCACTGGCTCACTTGACTCTTTTAGAAGTTGCTCCCACCTGTCTCCCCATTCTAATCTTTTGAAGGATTTGCACAGCCTTTATATCATGGGTATCAAATTCGTCACGTGACGTGTCATGACGTATTGCAACTCTTTTTGTATTGCTGGCAATGGGGTGGGCGCGGCTTCGGTATGATGAAACCGGCCTGTGGGCCGGCAGTTTGACACCCCTGCTTTATATTCATCTGACAAATATAATTAGTTTATTTTGTTTCAAGGTCATAATGCAGATATCCCCTTAGTTTCATTGTATGATATTACCTTTCTTTGCCTAACAACCAACAGAATTTAATCTGTATTAAACTAAATTAAATTAATTCGAGGGAGACCAATCAATCAAATGGTAAGAAGGGGAACTAAGATACAAAACAAGAGATGTGCGAAACAAACACAGGATCAGTCAAAAGGGACTCCAGTGCTATACATTAATGTTTGAAGTATGCGGAATAAACAGGGCCAACTTGAAGCCTTAGCACATGGGGACAAGTATGACATTGTTGCCATTACTGAAATTTGGTGGGATGAAACCCATGCTTGGAAAATATGTGTTCTTGGAAGGCAGATATGATTTTGGATCCACTGAAACATATCTGTCAAGGATCCTGGAGTACTGAGGAACTAATAGAGGGCTAGATGTGTTTCCAATTTTCAAAGGGGGGGGGGAAATGGATCTAGGAAACTACATATCAATCAGCCTGACATTAATATCTGTGAAGATTCTGGAAAAGATAATCAAACAATGGAACACTTTGAAACAAGAACAACACATAGAAACAAACAAAGCTATGTTCAGAAGCCAGTATGTATTTGTTAAAAACAGATTATGCTAGACAGCCTTTTTTGCATTCTTTGACAGTGACTAAATTAGTAGACCAGCAAAATGTTCCAGACATAGTATACTTAGACTTCATCAAGGCATTTCACAAAGTAGACCACAACCTACTTCTTGGTAAGACAGAAAAAATGCAGCATAGACACCACCAGATGGATTTGTAACTGGCTGACCAACTGCACTCAACATGTAATCCTTAATGGAACTACATCCACATGGAGAGAAGCATGCTATGGGGTACTCCAATGTTGTATCTTAGACCTAGTACTCTTCAGTATCTTCCCCTAGATGAGAAAGGGAGGTCATCAAATTTTAAATGACTCCAAGCTCTGGTAATAGCCAAAACCTTAGAAGATAGGCTCAAGCTCTAAAAGAATCTTGTTGAGGCATACCCAACAAAATGCAATTCAGTAGTGAGAAAAGTAAGCTTTTACACTTACTGAAGAAAACTCAACTTCATAGGTATAGAATAGGTGGCATCTGGCTCAACAACAGTTACTATGAGAAGGACCTAGGTCTTCTAGTGGCAACCACTTAAGTATGAGCCAGCAATGTGCTACAGCTGCCAAAACAGCCAATGCAGGCCTAGGCTGCATCAACAGAAGGATAGTATCAAGAGCATGTGAAGTGCCGATACTGCTTTATACTGCAGTGATAAGACCAGACTTGGAATACTGAAGTTTTGGTCACCACAAAAAAAAATGTTGAGACCCTAGAACGAGAAAAGCAACAAAGATAATTAGTGGACTGGAGGCTAAACTATACAATGAACAGTTGTGTGAACCGGGTATGTCTAGTGTAATGAACAGAAGGACTAGGGCTGATATGATAGCAGACTTCCAATATTTGAGAGTCCCTCACAGGGGATAGATTTATTCTCCAAAGCACCTGAGGGCAGGATAAGAAGTAATGGAAGATCATTAAAGAGAGATCTAACCTAGCATTAAGGAGAAATTTTCTGTGAGAACAATTAATCAGTGGAACAGCTTGCTTCCAGACGTTGTGGCTGCTCTATCACTGGAGGTTTTTAAGAAACCTTTTCTTAAATGGTTTAGGAACTTTTCTAGAATGGTATAGGAACTTTTCTAGAATGGTATAGGAACTCCTGCTTAAAAAGGGGGTTGGATTAGAAGATCTCCAAGATCCCTACCAACTCTTGTTACTCTGTATTCTAATTATGAAAAATGTGGTATTTTCCTGACCTATTCTCAATACTATTCTCCCCTCAATATCCTTTTATTAGACTATTTTATTACTTCCAGTGAGGGGTAATTGTGGTTTCCATACTATACCAAGTTATGTCTGTTGTACTCTAGTGGCATAATTAGTTTTGCTTCTGAAATCTCTTCAAGTTTTGGCCTTGCTTTTGAAATTTCTTGAGATTGCAGGCAAACAAATCAAAATTTTACAAGATGTCATCTTTTAATTTTACAACAATTTTCAATTATTTTAGTTCTTAATTTTACAATTCCATGGATTTTGTAAGGGATTATTACAGATGCCATAATGCTGACTCTTCCTTTACAGCATAGGTGGTTCAACCTTTTTGGCTTGCCAGGGCAACATTAAGTGAAGAGGAAGTGCCTTGGGCCTCATATAAAATATATAATATAGTTAATGTATAGGTAATATAATGTATCCCACAGTCTCTGGGTTGGACATGTCTGCTTTACAGTGTTGGCTATATTTTGCAGTCACAATTATTTATTATTCTAGATGCCATCATTCTGCAATATCTTACCTTTGAAGGTCATGATGGCAATCTGAGCTCCTGCACGATGTAGACGTCTCAAGCCTTCAGGCTCAGCATTCCGCTCCTCACAGAAGTACAAACGGGCAGCAAAAATGCGCAGTGTCAGATTAGGATATGCACACAAAAAGTCAGCCACATGCCGGGCACAATCATAACATGGGCTCCAGGAGGTGAACCAAGTGATACGATAGCAGTGTCTTGGATCCAGATCCCAAGTGGAAATGTAACGTAGGAAGAGAACTTCAACATGGCAACCTGACTAAATAGCAATGGTACAGAAAAACTGGGATATGACCAACATACAATGAAAGGCAGAGCCTATAAAAAAAAGGATATAAGAGAAATCTAAAGGTTCCCTAGATTAGGATTGAGTTGCTCAATCTACAAATAAAAATTGTATGATCAGGAGTATCACATTTTCTTAGATGACACCAGGTCAAGTTGCTAGTGAAAAGTTATATGTATGATTGATACAGTGGTGGGATTCAGCCAGTTCACACCACTTTGGCAGAACCAGTAGCTAATTTTTTGTTGCCCAGGCCCAGAATGGACTTCCAGAAATGGCATCCACACAGAGAACCAGTTGTTCACATATTTGAATCCCACCACTGGATTGATTCCATCCTATATCTACCCTCCTTCATACATGGAAATAATATTAAGCCAAAGAATATCAGTTATCTGTCTGTCTGTCTGTCTGTCTGTCTGTCTGTCTGTCTGTCTGTCTGTCTGTCTATCTATCTATCTGTTGCAGTTAAGTGTATAACATTTCTGAGTGAAAATAATAGGTTTTAATTAATCAGGAGGTCATTACAAATAAGACTTCTGCATATGTATGATTTAAGACCCAGACCTTCTTTTAACCTTTTTAAGTTACCTGTCTTGTTTTTATACATCATGCATGTAGTCCCATTACACCAGGGGTAGGCAACCTTGGCTCTTTTAAGACTTGTGGACTTCAACTCCCAGAATTCCTGAGCCAGCCTTGAAGTTCACGAGTCATAAAAGAGCCAAGGTTGCCTACCCCTGCATTACACTGATCAGGCTGGCATTGAGGTGCTTCCAGACACAATTCCTAAAACTATCAATTAAAAGGCAGCTATTTTATTTTTTCCCCTCAATAGGTTTTTGATAGCAGGAAAAAGACAGACTCTTTATAAACTATGAATCATTCAAGGTAATTTTAAAGAAAACTAAAACTGAGTGTAGCCAAAGATTTGGTCTATTGGTCCTATGATATTTATTGGGGATATTTTTTTTACTTTTAATATTTAGTCTGAATCCGGTTTCCTCTAATTTAAATCCATTACTCTGCATTCTGCAAGGAGAGAAAAGAAGTATCAATCTTCAATATAATATTCTTTAAAATACTTGACTAATGTGTGCTACTACCCCACCTGATTTTTTTTTCAAGGCTAATCTATCCAGCTGCATCATTTTTTCTTCATTGGTCTTAAAAATCATCCTTGTTGCTCTTCACCAATCATGTTTTAATTTCCCTGAATCTTTCAAGTGTAGTACTAGAATAGGATATAGTACCTGAGGTGAAATCTGAATCAAGTAGAATAAAATAGAACAATTTCTTCTGATTTAGAAATTACAGCTATACTTATGTAGATGGAGCCTAAAACTGCATTTCTCCTTTTTGCAACTGTATCATATTTATTTGCTGCTATCTCAGACTCTTAGTAGCTAACAAGCCATATCGAGCACTTTGTATTTGTTATGGCATTCTGTTAAGAAACAAAGATGGACATTTTTAACAAAACTGAAGATCAGGCATTTGCTAGTGCATAAAACTCTATAGGCCTTAATTATATAACTTGCTTATTCATTTAGGTTAGCATAAATAACTTGCAAGTATGCACATTTGAAATTTAGGGTAGAAAATTACTGTTTTTCAGATCTTAGCAGAGGGGCCAACAAATTGGACTGATAAAAAAAAGAGGAGGAATCTAGGTAATAGAAAATATCAGGATGAACCAAGCTAAGGCTATAGAAAATTTGGTAATAAAAAAGACTGGACAATCCCAAGCCAAAATCAATGTAATGCACATTGTACTCTCAGTACCTTGACTAATTAGGGATAGGATAGGCAGAACTAAAAAGATATCAAACCATCTAATGAAGGATGTTAGGATTTTAGAAGGAACTACTCTATCAAAATCAATTTCTCTTTTTTCACCACCATTATTTACTTCTACAATCTTCAGCTATCTACCACCAAGCTCTATGGAACAGAACTTCAAAATTTTACCTTCCTCCATTTTAGGCTGTCTTTGCTTATTGAAATAAAGCATTAAAATCTGTCTCAGACTTTTGAAAAATGAGGGAACGTGGGATAGCACTCTTCAAATATCTTAAAGGAATTCATAAGAAGACTGTAATGAAATCCGTCCTCTGTCTTCCCAAAGTGGACTAAGGAAAACATTTTGATTGGTTAATGGGACCTATTACACAAATGAAAGTGTCAGCTGGAAACATTTGGAGAAGAAAGCAGAATATTTCTAGAACCAGCTTCACTTTTTGCCAAAAACTAGGCAACGTTGGAAAAGGAAATAATCATTCTCTCCAATGTTCCATAAATAACTGAAGAAGGGTAGGAGTTTTTATGCAAAAATCACAACTACATCATCAATATTATTTTGTAATTTATCTAATCTGGAAGTGACATGGATTGGCAAAATCATGGAATAATAAAAATAATAAAAATAAGTATAAATACCAGTGCTCTCCAAAACATTCAAAATAAATACTTCGTGAAACATGTTGACAGGATCAATGCATGTTAATTGTACCCACCAAAGGCTTTTCAAAGCTCTCCTCAACCATCTGTGTCATTATGCTTTGCTGGTGGCCTCAGAGGTGTGCATGGTCTGTGCACACACGCAGATACATACAAATAGCTGGGCACTGCCTTGAACAGCTATTTTAGCATTTCAAGAAAGACTCACTTCAGTGTGCTTTGTGAAACATAGCTTTTCTCTTTCTCTTTTCTCTTCACTGGTTCACAGGAAGACTAATATTTGAATAAGCAAAATGATGTGCTGTAATAAAATGTGCAGGACCCAGAGATAGAATAGAATAGAATAGAATAGAATAGAATAGAATAGAATAGAATAGAATAGAATAGAGTAACAGAGTTGAAAGGGGCCTTGTAGGTCCAAACTCCACCCCCCACCCAAGACCACGTGGAATCCAAGAAAACTTTTCCCCTTGCTTTCATTGTTTGTAGGCCCCTACTAGAGAAGACCCAATGGGAGCTAAATGTGTGTCCCTTTACCTTATTACGCAGATATCCAAAATCCAGGGAGCAGGATGTGGCACTATTCCGCTGTTTTACTACATAACAAAGATAAGTTTCATGACGGCCTTTAGCCCATCTCATGTTCTTGAAATGGTAGAGAAATTTCTTTTGCTTCATTAGAAGACTGCAGGGAGGCAGGAATATTAAGAAAATTAACAGCACATATTTATAGATGAAGGTCAATACAGGACAAATCAAGAACTTGACCAAAGAGGAGATTAAAAATGAGGAACTCAGAAGCAGTTAGTCAACTAAAGGGTTATCATTTTGTGCTAGGCAAAAGAATACACCCTATGTATTCAAGCATTTAACAAACAAAAAAGGACAAAAGAAAATCAATGGATATAATTTAGTATATGCTGGCATGACAAGATCAACAGGTTCCCCTGCAAGTTTTAGAACATTTTTCTATGGTCCTTTTTGTCTTACATGCTTAGTGAATTAGGTTGCCCTGGTTCATTAGCAATGACTTGATGACACATCATCCATCCATCCATCCATTCACAATATTGTGGATATCCAATATTGTAACTGTCCTTAAATATGTTTTTTTCATGTTTCTCTATCATATTTTGCTATCAATTTTATTTTAAAAGGATGCTTTCTGACCCATTCCATTCCTGTATGTCTTTTTCTACAACCCATATGGAGTTTTAGTCAGAGTATGCCATGGCATTCAGGAGTGCCCCCCCCAAATGACATTCAGTCAGCAATACAGTTTACAACAGCTCTAAGCTATAAAAGGAGGAAATACAGAGGAGGACTATATTAATTTTAATGTAGAAAGCCACAGTGATGTGTGGCTAAAAATGTGAGGCAACCTGGTTAGAATCTCTCAGTTCTTCACTTTATTCAACATTCACATCTCAATAGGATCAACTTATTAAAAGCACCTAAAGCCCAAACCGACAAGTAAAGTTTATTACAGATGTTACATGCTCCAACAGAAAGCCTATATCTCTGACATTCCTATTTTTACAGTGAAGAGGGTTCTTTATCTATCCTTCCCATCCTAGGTAGAGGCTCAAAGAGAAAACCTAAGGATGTCAGTCTTCTTATTATGATAACAAAGTAAAGGAAAAGGGGCACTTCTTCATGGCTGCATAAATGCACATTCTTCCTGTCTCTGAGTTGGCAGAAAAGAATGTCAACACAATTGCACACCTCATCACCCCCACTGAGGTTTACTGTGCTTTCAGAACAAGGCTGGTGAGGAGTACTGTAAGGACCCACTTCAATCCACATCTTAAGAAAGCAGAACTCTTGGAAACGGTCTCTTCCAACAGGAACTTTTATTAAGAGAAATTGATAGCAGGCATGATAGACAGGATCTGAGGAATTTCCTTACAAATTGATGTTTTAAAGTGTCCCTAAGCAGCCCCTACCCTGCAGTTCTTCCGGGCGACTCAGACCAGCAGATTTCTAGGTGTTAAATCCAGGAAAGATAACATCAATCTGGCTCCATTGTACATGATCATTCAACAGTTCCTCATATCTTATTTTGATGACAGAAAAATAAATCAGATTCCGGAGGCTGCATCTTTTCACACATACACCCCTTCCTAGCTGGCCGGTAAGGAGAAGTTCAGAGGGGCATAGGATAAAAGGCTAATGGTTACATTGTGATGGTTAGCAGACCTGAGGCGAATAAACAAAAGGTTACTTTGTAGTGAATAGAGGAGGTGAAAGTAATAAAACCCTCATGCATACTCCCCCTCCCCCTTAGTAGTATGGCAGGATCCAGGAGAAAGTAAGAATTGGTTTTATATCAGAGAAGATAGATAGAAAAGAAATATAACTGGATTCTGACAAGTGCCATCCCTACAGACATAATGCAGGATGGTAATATAGAAATTGAAGAATCCATCAGCTTCCTTTTCTCTCACTTTGTCCTTGTTGGCAGAAAAACCAACTACTAGTCACTCAAAAGAGGGCATAGAAGGCAGCTACTCCACTGTCAATCAAAGTTCTGCAGAATATAAGGGCTGAGGATCCACAACTATAGCATCCCCAACATATGGCCATCTGCCCTCCATTTAAACATCTCCAGTAAAAAAAAGAATCCACAGTCTCTCAGATCATTATTTGTCAAGGAATTGGGAAGCAGGTGTCCAAATGGAATCAGAGATGCTGATAAGAACCAGCAATTTTAAATAAATAAATATATTTATAGTAAATAAGAGAGACAAACAAGAGGATAGTCAGGTAAATCAACACAGCAGGAACATCAGGCAAATCACAGAGAGCACACACAGCACACAGGGCAAAAAAGTGGGAAACAAGGAAATGCCCTCTTTACTCTTACGGCAACACAATTACAGCTCAGATTCTCTCATGCACTGGCCAGGTCTCTTTAATCAATTACCTATAACTGTGTGTTCTTACTCACTGTCCAATCCTTCACTGCTCCAGCTATTAAATTTTTAATATCTTAACACCTCTCCAATTTATAGCTGGGCAGCATTTAAACTAAATTGTTTCACAAAATCCTTGTGTTTCTGTATACCCAATGGCTTTGTCATGAGGTCAGCCTTCCGATGGATGATAGATAGATAGATAGATAGATAGATAGATAGATAGATAGATAGATAGATAGATAGATAGATAACCTTTATTGTCATTTTTTACTGTGGGCACAATGGCACACATTAAAAATGAAATTTAGTTGCTTGCCCTCAAAGTGTACACATACATAACACACATTTAAACATTATATATAATATATGTATAAACTTACACCCTTACATATAAGTAACATATAAATATTAATCACTGTCCATCTTGAATACATAATGGAAGGAGGAAGCTTTAGAGTTCACAAGGTTAATACTGTATGGAACAAAACAGTGACTGAATCTGGATGTTCTGCTTCAGATACCATAAAGCCTCCTCCCAGAAGGTAACAAAGAAAACAGGTCGTGTAGAGCAGTGGTTCTTAACCTGGGCGGTACCGCCCCCCCAGGGGGCGATTTCATTTTTCAGGGGGGCGATGGAACGAAAAGGGGCGGCGTGGGGGCGATGGAACGAAAAGGGGGTGATAGGGGGGCGATGGAGCGAGATGTTTTGGAGACACTTTTGAGCCTTCCTCTGCAGCTCCGAGCGTCCTCCGCCATTTGTAGAGAGAGACAGAGAGAGGCACTTGTGCTTCTCTCTCTCTTTCTCTCTCATGCGGATTTCCCCCCTCGCAGGGCTCCTGATTGGCCCTGTGCCCGGGCGCCCCGCCCTCTGGGAGAAGCGCGGCCAGGAAGTCCCTTTCCCTGGCTGGCCCCGTCCGAGGTACACGTGGTCGGGGAACCGCACGGGGAAGCCTGGAATCCCCGCTGGAAGCAGCCTGCCAGAGCCTCTGCTGAGCAGGCCAGCCTTCCGGCAAACAACGGCCCTGAGAGAGAGCAGCCCCTGCGATCTCCAGCTGCAGGACCATTGGCCCAGCTGGCTGGGAAGGCGCGCCGGAGTCCCGGCTGCTTTGTCAGCGAAGAATGTGAGGTGAGCAGAAGATGGGGGGGAGAAAGAGAGGGAGAGGAAAGAGAGAGGGAGAGGGGAAAGAGAAAAAGAGAGAGAGAGAAAGAGAGAGGAAGCGCAAGTGCCTCTCTCTCCCTCTCTCTTTCTCTCCTCACCTGGAGAAAGAAGGGGGAGGGAGGGAGAGGAAAGAGAGAGGGAGAGGGGAAAGAGAAAAAGATAGAGAGAGAGAGGAAAGAGAGAGAGAGAGAGAGGAAGCGCAAGTGTCTCTCCCTCTCTCTCTCTCCTCACCTGGAGAAAGGGGGGAGGGAGGGAGAGGAAAGAGAGGGAGAGGGGAAGAGAAAAAGAGAGGAAAGAGAGAGAGAGAGGAAGCGCAAGTGCCTCTCTCTCCCTCTCTTTCTCTCTCCTCACCTGGAGAAAGAAGGGGGGAGGGAGGGAAAGAGAGAGGGAGAGGGGAAAGAGAAAAAGAGAGAGGAAAGAGAGAGAGAGGAAGCACAAGTGCCTCTCTCTCCCTCTCTCTCCTTCTCTTTCTCCTCACCTGGAGAAAGAAGGGGGGAGGGAGGGAGAGGAAAGAGAGAGGGAGAGGGGAAAGAGAGAGAGAGAGAAAGAGAGAGGAAAGAGAGAGAGAGGAAGCACAAGTGCCTCTCTCTGCCTCTCTCTTTCTCTCTTCTCACCTGGAGAAAGAAGGGGAGGAAGGGAGAGGAAAGAGAGAGGGAGAGGAGAAAGAGAAAAAGAGAGAGAGAGAAAGAGAGAGGAAAGAGAGAGGAAGCGCAAGTGCCTCTCTCTCCCTCTCTCTCTCTCCTCACCTGGAGAAAGGGGGGAGGGAGGGAGAGGAAAGAGAGGGAGAGGGGAAAGAGAAAAAGAGAGAGAGAAAGAGAGAGGAAAGAGAGAGAGAGGAAGCACAAGTGCCTCTCTCTGCCTCTCTCTTTCTCTCTCCTCACCTGGAGAAAGAAGGGGGAAGACCACCCACCCAGTCTGCTCTAAAGGCACAGTGAAAACACAGCCAGCACTCCCCCTGAAAATCTCTCATTTTCACTCATTTCAAGCTAGCAGTTGTGGTTCTATGTAGCTTGACTACCCTGTGATATATAGATTAAAATGTAATTATTAAAAGTCTCTGAATATTCAAACCTTGCCCAGCCCTCACATCCACAAAATTATTAATTTTATTCTGGGGGAGAGAAATGAAAGTTTATATAAATTCATTTCACATTTTAAGAGGTCTGCAGTATTGCAAAGTTGTGATTGAGAGGTTATGTTGGGGGAGGGGGGCGATGACAACTTCCTCATTGGCTCAAGGGGGCGATTCGTTCAAAAAGGTTAAGAACCACTGGTGTAGAGGATGTGTAGTGTCCCAGACAATTTTGCAGACCCTGCTCAAGCAACACTTATATGCTATATCCTGGATAGAAGGGAGGGAACTGCCAATAATCTTTTCAGCCATTCTCACCACTCTCTGCACCGTCTTCCTGTCTGAAGCTGTGATGCTTCCAAACCAGACTGTGATGCTGTATGACAGGATGCTCTTGATTGTCCCTCTGTAGAAAGTGATAAGGACAGGGGAAGGAAGATGTGCTTTTCTCATGTGATGCAGAAAATGCAGGCGCTACTGTGCCCACTTCACCAGTGGCACCAGTGACTGTTGAGCGACCAAGCCAGCCTACTTGTTAACTGCACACCCAGGAATTTGATGCTGGTAACTATCTCTACAGGTGAATCATTAATGCACAGAGGAGTGTGGCTGTGTCTGCCTTTTCTGAAATTGACAATGATCTCTTTGGTGTTTCCAATGTTTAAAACTAGGCTGTTTTCCTTACACCAGTTCACCAAACCCTCAACCTCCTTGCACTATGCACCCTCATTGTCATCTTGAATAAGGCCCACTACTGTTGTATCATCTGCAAACTTCACAATATGGTTGGTGGCAAATCTAGCACAATAGTCATGGGTTAACAGGGTGAACAGCAGGGAACTTAGGACACAGCCCTGAGGAGAACCTGTGCTCAAGAAAATGGTGTTAGAAATATTTGTTCCAGCACACACATACTGGGGCCTGTTAGTAAGAAAATTAAGAATCCAGTTGCACAAAGGAGTGTTTAAACCTAAAGGGCCCAGTTTGTCTACTAGATGCTGGGGAATGGTTATGTTAAATGCTGAACTGAAGTCAACAAACAACAAATGCACATGAG